TTGCAAAAAGGCGTAATCCATTTATTGCAAAAAAAATTTTTAATGTAAACTAACTGGACCAGTTTGAAAGAAACAAGCAAGAATGAGGTTGCGCGATAATTCGTAATTTATTTGTCTTAATTATATTTCTTTTATATCACTTAGCAATAAAATTTTAAACTCGGTTTTTATACCCAAAGCATTCATTAAAACATTGTAAGCAAATGATGTTATTGGAGTGCCATGAACAGTTTCCCTAATATTTGTTTGTACTTTTGAAATACAATTACATACTAGATATTCAAGTCAAGTCTTAGGCCCGTATCGTCAGTCGTCCCTACAATTGTAGGGCGCCTTTATGGCCTCCTTGATTGTCATAGTTTTCTACTTCTCCGTGTCAGAACTCTATTTTGAGGTTATGTCACAAACATCTATTTGCATCAAATTGTGCTTGCTTTTGAGTTATATTTTATCAGCCTGAAATTTCCTACAATTTAAAAAGAAAACATATCTTCACAATAGGAGAGCGCTGACGCTGACACGGGACAAGTGTAATCTAGACATTTTTGAAGGAGAGAAAGGAGTATGACAATCAAGGAGGCCATAAACGCGCCCTACAATTGTAGGAACGACTGACGATACGGGCCTGAGTGTTACCTAAAAGTGATATATCTAATATCCATATGTACTATTTTTCTAAAACATTTTCTATGTATCAAGCCAGAATCTAACTTTTATCAAAATAAAGCAGTTAAAATAAATCGTATCGATAGATGCTTTGTTCACCAAATATTTGTCCTTAGATACAACTCGTGAAATAGTAGTGGTACATCAAAACTCATAAATGCTGAAGCGACTTTCTTTCAAAATATTTTTTAAGTTTTACCCCATCCAGACCAGCGTTTTTTAACTTTTTAGTTTCTCGGACAAGTGATGTTTGGATGTTCTGTTATATAGAACGTTTATGAACCATTTAGCAATTTTAGGAAGCATCAGAATACATGTCAGTATAGAAAGAACTAAAATTGTAAAATTCTGCGAGCGTGTGTAACCATGTCTTACACATTTTCGTTGCAGCATTGGTCTAGTGAATAATCTTAGTTTCAAAACTCAGCGTACCCTTTTTGAGAAAACAAGTGTTGTGTTTTGTATGTTCTTTTCGAAATAAACGATAAACATTTGAACCTGCCTTTTCTTTTTCATCCGATATATAGATGATATCGATTTTATATTTATGTAATTGTACAGGGTGTTCATTTGAAAACGTTCCACCACGGATTTATCGAAAACCACTGATTAAAAGAAAAATCGCCGAGACACATCAAAAGATTTATCAAGGGGGACAACTATTTAAACCAAAAACTACTTCACCCCCTTTCACCCTCTGCCCCCCAGCGTAGCTTGTTTGAAGGGTGTTTCGAAGTCCTTCATTTTGACGTTTGATTTTTTAAAATCGGTTGATTCGTTTTCAAGAGAATTGGAAAAATCTTTATTTATCTTAATTTGTTCAGACAGAAAACAAAAACCCACGAAAATATTGCTTTTTATTTACTAAGTGGTCAAAATGTTGCCCGTTACTACTAACACTACTAACTGCTAACATAAACAGCAATTCGGAAGATTAGACGTGGCAACAACCAAATAACGACCCGATTTTTTTCCGCATTCTTTTCATCCTGGGCGAACTGTATTTATTGTTATACCTTTCTAGTTATTTGTTGCTAAGGGAAAGAAAGAATTTAATTTGCTGTCAGTTACATGTGACAATCTTGGGATAGTGAAAATTAATTTATTGATTCAGATTTTACTTCCAAAATGGTTTACACACTATCCGAAAGAGTGGAAATGATTCTAAATTATGGTACCCAAAATCAATGTGCTCGGCAAACTGCCATCACGTTTACCGTCAGACATCCGGGGAATAATAATAATAATAATAATGCGTTTATTGCCCAACAGTGATCACCATTTACAGAGCAAAAAGCAGTAGTATAGCTTACATGGTAGTTACAGCACAAAATATAAAACAGAAACAAAAGAAACATGAAAACCTTGACCAAAATCTATCATAGATGGGCGCGAGATTTATTCTTTAATTCACACACACTGCAGTGAAAAATATCACATGCACTTGAAATTTTGTTGGCATTTCGGCACATAAAATTGATTGGAGCCTTTAGTAGTAAGTTAGTTTGAGCGTTGCACAGGAAAGTCCTGTATTGTCTAGATGTTATTCTAGGAACCAGAATATCTACTTGAGCTAACAATACAGGACAATCTACTTTTCCATGGAAAAGCTTGTGCAAGAAAAGTACAGATAACTGATATCTACGGCTCTCCAAAGACTGATAATCAAATCTATGTAGTAGCTCAGGATAACTACAGCCTCTTGGTGGATACACACCATCGATTCTAAAAGCTATGAATTTCAAAAAATGCTTTTGTGCTTTTTCAATAGCAACGATATATTGGCCATATGTAGGACTCCATATGAGTGAGCCATATTCCAGTTTAGATCTTACTAGACTGAAATACAGAGACGATAATGCTGAGGTGGCATTGAAACTCTCTCGTCGACTTGACCTTCAAATCACCTTGAAGGTCATGGTAAAGGTCATAAGCAAGGTCAGTTGAATAGCTGGAGAAACCTGTCAATCGCGGCGCTCGGTATTTTCTTACCAATCCGTAGCATTACAATATAGCTGTAATTATTGTCTCGGCTTTTCCCAGATGATGGATGTCGTATGGGCTAGAAAGCTTCTCTTTTGGACCTCTATTTAACTGTCAAAATGCAGCTCAGATTATTCTGTTATGTGACTCAATCGTTATGAATCTGAATGAGTGAACAAGTACGAGCTCCTTCCCACTTCAGTTGGCCCACTTCAAGATTTATACCAAAATATGCCTTTATAAACTAAACATGACGAAACTATTTACTTCTAAAACAATTTATTTTCTCAGAAACATTTTAGATACTCTCTAGTCGTAAAAAATACATATTTGAAATCACTTAGACCTATAACTAATAGAACATCTGAACAAATAAACAATGTGCGAATAAATGCGCGAAGTTAACAAAGCAACAATTGAAAGATTATTATCATTGGGTAACATCACCTTTATTTTTTATTACGGCTGAAATTCTTTGGGGCGTAGTGTTAACCAAGTTTTGGCAAAAATTTGGTATAAAACAATCCCATATTTCTTGAAGCTTTTGTCTCAATTCGGTGATTGTACGAGCAGGATGCTGTCGTAGAACCTTTTTCATCTCGTGCCACAAAGTTTCAATAGGTGACAGATCTGGACTGCTAGAAACCCATTTCAAAAGTGGTACATTATTTTCTTCTATCCATTTTATACCTTTTTTTGAGGTATGGCACGCTGCACCATCTTGCTGAAACACATAATCTTGGCCGGATGTCAAACATTCTTCCATGACTGGTAAAAGCGATTCTTCTAAAATTGCCAAATATTTGTTTGTATCCACATTTCCATCAATAAAAGGAAGTTTTCCTACTCCTTTTGATGACATACTGCCCCAGACCATAATGGATGCTGGAAATTTCAGTTTTCTCTTCAGACAGTCAACATGGAATGCTTCATTTTTTTTTTGCGAATAACTCTACTGCGACTGTCACCAGCACAAACTTCGAATCGGGCCTCATCACTCAATTGTATTGCACTCCATTGTTGAGGTGTCCATTGTCTATGCTCTTTAGCCCATCTAAGCCGATTTTTCTTTTGCAGTGGAGTTAATAGTGGCTTTTTCTTTCGCCTATAAACAAGTTGTGCAACTTTGGGGTTTTTACTTCACTTTTTTTTATAAGAAAACTTACCTTGCAAGTGCTAAATACCAGTTTATGGGCCTCTCTATGAGTTGTGGACCTCGAAATTGTCCTTCCAACAGCGTCACTCCACAGAGCACTTAATTGTAAATAATTGGCACGCCTGTTTTTCACGATTATTCTTCTTAATGCTCTTCGGTCGGCATTTGTGATATTACTTTTTTTTCACATATCGTGGCTTAATATTAACTGAACCAGTTACATCTTCTAACAATATTTCTCACACTGTACCGCGATAAGTCTAACAAAGTTGCAATTTCTGAGTTTGATTTCCCAGAATTAAAAAATTTAATTATCAGTAACCGAATTTTCTCACTAATAACCTTTCCTCTACCCATTTTTAAAACCTTAACTACCCAAAACTATTTTAAACGTATTCTGACATCTGTGATTAATAAAAACAATTGTCATGGCTTTTATTTTTCACAGCCACCTATGCGTTATAGACTTATTTTGCATTGAAATGAAAATAGGTTGATATGCTGTAATTGCAACATGTGTTATTTTTATGCTGCAAATTTGATTAGGGAGTGATAAAGTTGGTGTTTTCTACTATATGTTATCAAAATATTCATTGTTAATAATTTAAACCTATAACACCCTGCTAAATTTTTATTATTTGTGTTTTATAAGAAAAAAACTAAGATTTCAACTGAAGTAGGAAGGGGCTCGTAGTTTTTTGTTCAGGTTCCCCCCTTGGTACGATGCATATACGACTACTGACTTTCAAGTTATATCACCGTAACTGGGTTTGACCTTGACCATGGCCTCCTAAGGTCAAGGGCCAAGACTATATTTGAACGCAAAATTTGCCGCTCTTTTCGTTTACGAGGTCAAAAATGGGAGGGTTCTATTTAAAAAAATAGATTTTCTTTCAAATGACTTTGAAGGTCATGATCGAAGTCAAATTCAAAGTCATATGTATGGATAGCTGGGGAAAACTATCAATCGCCGGCCTCAATCTTTTCTTACCATTATTAATATAACAAAATTCGTATTATCTCAATAGAGCTATAATTATCGTCTGGACTATTCCCAGATTATGAATGTCGTATGGGCTAGAAAGCTTCTCTTGTGACCTCTATTTAACTGTCACCATACAGCTCAGATTAGTGTGTTATGTGATTCAATCGTTATGAATCTGGAGTTTTTGAACAAGTATTTTTTTTTGTTCAGGTTCCCGCCTTGGTACGATGCCCGGCGAAGTTAATTTGTTACAACCGTCTTCCATCACGAACAACAACGTAACGTCAAACCAGGAGAAAGGAGAGACGCATAAAACTGCTCAACCAGTAGGCAGCACCTGGGGGAATATCAATATAGATCTAGACAATCTGCTGGTGAACAAACCAAAGAAAGGACCCTCACCTAGCATGAATCAACTAGCCACAAATCCCAACACTTCCCCGGTTCGACAGCCAATGGTTCCCATCGCGCCTTTACAAAGTCAAAATGACAGCCAACAGCAATTCTTTGCAGCTTTCAAATGATGCGTCTACTAAAATTTTAATGATTATTTTCTTAGGCATCAATATACGCGAATGATATTTAATAAGTGATTGATTATTTCATTTACTTTGGTCCGTGTAATAATGAAATGAAAGTGATTCGGGTTTAGAAGCAAAATTACTATATCAGATTTTTCTCAGTTCGGTATTAACTGTAACATGCACATTACCACCATAATATTACATATAGGTTTTAAAATTCGCTCATATAAGGCCTGTGTGTACGTCTAGTAAGTGTGAAAGGGAAAACACGATTTTTTTCCTGACACGTTCATTTGCTAAATTGGGAATTTTTTGAAGAATTTTCTCGAATTGGAAAGAATCTTAGTGGGATATGAAACGTAGCGTTTTATATATGCAATTCTCTGTACTTTTTTATAAAAAAAAGTGTTTCAAATAAAAAAAAAGCTTCAGATGCTAAACACATTTCAAGACGAAATTTGTGGAATTTTGCGTTTATTTTCTTTTTACTCGGAAATATAGCCTAAAGAGTGTTTAAATTGCATCAAAAGTTTTGAAATGTTATGAGTATGTTTCAGCTGTAATAATCATTTTAAAGATATTCTAACATAAAAGTGTAGTTTGTTTTTATAAGATTTTCTCAAATACTGAAATTTGAAAAAATAGGATGCAAAATCGGAAGTAAACTCTTCAAGCCATAATTAGGGTAACTATATTCTTTATCCTGATTTTTTACTCCAAAATTTAGCCTAAAGTATGTTTAAATTACACTTGAAGTTTTCACGGTTTCACGGCTTTTAAAAATTGAAATCGATAAACAGTGAAATCTCCTTTGGACGGACACCAGCGGGAACAAATACAACAAAAATCGTGTTTTTAATGAAAACTGAATATCTTAAAGAAACTGGGCCATTTAAAACGTATATGTATATAAATGTTTTCAAAATAAACAAAAACGCTTAAACTTTAGAAAAGATTAATTACTTTTAGATATATAAAAAGTATGTACATATGTATAATATAATATGTATGTACATACATATAATGTGAAGTAACATAAAACAATGAAATAAAAAGTCACTTTAAGGATGCAAAAATTCATTGTTGCTTTGTGCCTTTTCCTTTAAAATGGCGTCTTGAAATCGTATTTCTAGTTTAGAAAGAAGCTTCAAAGACTGTATCTGATTTCCAACAAAACTTTAGAGCTGCTCGGTCAGGGTAATAGTTTTACCATAATTTGGAATAGCTTCTGTTGGCACTGGAACCTCATCGACATCAGAATCTTCGGAAAGATCTTGTATTTCAACTGGCTTTTCATTTTCTTGGCCTGAATCTTCATCTCAACATACAAACTTTCATCTAGGTTCAACAAATCATAAAGGTTTCCATTATCAGTCAATTTCATTAAATTGTTATTTTTTAGGATATCTGAAAGTACATTAAGTGGTAAATCATCTTCCGGGTCATGTGAATCAGCCTGATTTAACTGGTCTTCATTTTGCATATTTTCATGCTAAAATCCTGCTTTGCGGAAGCAATGTTGCACTGTTTCTTTGGTGACTTGGCCCCAAGCGGGTTTTGTCAAACAAACTGCATCCAATGACGTAATTTTCTTTATTAACTCAAAAGGTGTACCAGTAGTGTTTACTAGCAGGTATTTGAGTATTAGACTTTGTTAATAAGTTTTAAAACTCGTTATAATCCCTTTTATATTATTTAAGCAAATGTCTTTTGGATGAGATCCGGCATTGTCTAAAAAGAATAAACTGTTTCTTTTTTCTTTAGCCATCTTCAAATCTAGGTCTTGCAACCACTCATAATTTGTCTTGTCATCCAAGGTTTCTTATTACATTTCCAAGCTCTGGGTTCAGCTGCCTTACCAATAACTAGGAGTTTTTCTGTTTCGCCCGCCATATATATACAGTGGAAAATTGTAAACCTCTGAGACACATTTTTTCTTTTTTAATGTGAGCGTTTTGTTCGGTAGAGCCCTAAAATACAGGCATGTCTCATAGGCATTATAGATGTCTCTCGATGCATATCCCTTAATCAAAGGACATTTTTCCAAAAACGATGAAACATCTTCAGCATTAACTGAAGCTCCTTCTTCCGAAATCGCTTTAAAATCCATATTTTGGTGAATTCTAAATTTATTGAGCCAACTAGAAGAAGCTCTGCTTTGGTCGTAGTAGTAGACATAAAAAGTAAGTTTTCTGCGTTTTTGTCACGACAATCTCACATCTCACTCTTTTTATCTATTTTAGAATTTATATTTAAAGAAAATCATTGATTGATACAAGAAACCTAAAAAATAATATGCATACAAAAGGAATCTCCTTATGACGAGCTACTATAAACCAGTCATAACACAATTTGTCAATTTTGGTACCATCACCCGTCAAAAAGCTTCTTTTTTCATTCAACTTGCTGTTCGGCATCCATTTCTTTAGAATAATTTCTACAGCTTCTGCACACTTAACTTCTCCTTATTGAGAGCTTCAACAATCTCAACTTTTTGTTTAAGTGTGAGCATTTTTTTATTTGGAACCATTTTTTGTCCTGTTAGGAGAACATTTTCCTTTGTCCGCGTCCGTTCAAGAGAATGTTCGTCCAAGAGAGAGTTAATACAATTCAAATTATATGAGAGTCGGCCATGAGGAACTGTCCGTGCAAGAGGGGTGTCGGCGAAGGGGAATTTCACTGTATTTCGTTTTCCTAAGCCTGTAAAAAATATTAATTGATTCTATGAAATTAGCTATGAGCCTTTAGCTAATAGTCTGACATTTGTCAGCAGCATTTGTTTTCTCATCCAAAAGGCGCCGAATCCATAAAAGGTACCTTTGCACGTTCTCTTTACAGTGGTATTGCAGTCTAACGCACTGAAAAATGTTGCATGTTGCAACCGGTATGGAATGGAGAAAAATCAAACTTTGCGTCTTGAACCGAATCGCTGTAAATGTAGCGCAAAAAACTATTCTGTGGAAAATATATTTTAAACAGGGTAGGGAAAGATTCCATCTACAGAGAAATCCAAATATCACTGACGTCATAATGTGTATGGCGACGCGGCAAGCCGCAGCTGCGTCCGTGACCTCGTCACTCGGGTTGCCAGGCAACGAAGTTTTCTATCTCTTTCTAACATACGTATTGTACGCTTCTATCTCGTACACATTACGACGTCAGTGGTATATGGATTTCTCTGTACGAGTATACAGGGTGTAAACGTTATGATAGTCATTATTTAAATGGGTGATAGAGGGTGTTAAAAGAAGCAAAAATTTTCTTATAACATGGGGGTCCAAACGGAATTTTTTTTAGAGGAAAGCTACTTTAAAGTAAAATAAAATCTGACAACGCCGCAATGCCAGACGCAAATTACGACGGAACATGGAGTTTGGCTCTTAGGTATTATTTCATTATTTGATAATGCACTCGTAAAATGCAAACAATTAAAAAAAAAACGGACTAATTGCCTCAGCGCTTCACCTGATGTGTGAAAGTTTATTGAACGTATTAAAAAAATCCTCTTATAGACAATTTTGATACATACATTGTTTTTCTTTTTAAAACCCACACCGCACTTTTTTGTATGTAAAGAAGGTGTTCAAAATGCCGTCCTCCACTTTCCACACAAGCTTCATTACGACGAACCCAGTTTCTTCTTACTCTATGTCCTCGAAGTTGTCCATTTATTTCAACCGCATTAAATTTTTTTTCGCGAAGTTGTGCTTCAGTTGTTATTGGACCAGCCCCATAAACCATCTCTGAGTTATCCCCAATACCACAAATCCATCGGATTGAGGTCAGGAGATCTTGCTGGCCATTTTCCAGGATCAGGAGCATTTCGACCGATCCAGCGATTTGGATAATGTTTATTCAAATACTGAATGACGCCTCTAAAAATGTGTGGTGGTGCCCCGTCATGAAAAAAACATAAATTCTATCTCCGTTGTAATGGCATGTTGTCTAAGGTCTGTTCCAAAAGTTCTGATAGGTTATTGGCTAGAAAGCTAAGGTATCCTTTTCCTGACAACTTTGGGGGTAACTCGAAAGGGCCACTTACCCGATCGTCAAGAATACCAGCCCAAATATTTATTTGTTGTAAATGACCTTCACGAATGGTATGAGGATTTTCTTGGGCCCACGTGTGAGTATTATGGAAATTTAATATCCTGTTTTTAAAAAAATCCGGATTTTCAATGTTTTTGTGCAATAACCACTGACAGAATGTTAGTCTTCAAGGATAGTCTTCTGATAACAAAGCCTGCACTCGTTGTACATGGTAGAGATAAAGCAAATTTTCCCGTAGGATTCTATGGTCTATGGTATGCGATACTTCTACGCGGCGGCCTAATTCCCGAGTGCTGATATCTGCATTTGTTCTTCCTGCTCTACAGTAACCTGTCTTTCACGAGTGCGAATATTTGTGGGCTGAACACTTCCTTTATCTCGAAGTCTTTGTACACGTTGGCGAAATCTGTCGCGATAAATTTGAGCTGCAAGATTTGAATTCTGACGAGCTTCACCGTAAACTAGCAACATGTCGGCGAACTCTTGATTCGAGAACATTGTAAATAAACACGACGACGTACGCGAACAAAAACAAAACAACATACTAATCACTGTAACCGTTTGCGATCGATTGCGGGTTCGATAAGAGTGATGAAAGACCGACGCGCTGTTGTCATGTGTGTTTTAAATATTTAATTTAATGAAACTTACTGACCAGAAATTTTGGCTTAACTTATAAAAACTTAATGTCATTTATTTGTTAATTACCAAATTTATAAACGTTTTAGATTAGATTATAAAAATTAGTAAGATTGTGGTCCAGTTGTAAACTATAAAGTCATTTAGACAAAAATCTCTTGACTTTTGGACCATGGGTCATATGAAATTTTTGACTTGTTTTGACCCGCCCTATTACCCATTTTAATAATGACTACCATAACGTTTACACCCTGCATATAGATTGGCAAAGTTTTTAGTGTTGTTCAGTATCGGTTGGGTTTATGGCAACCAGCGAAAGATATCCCCACAATAAATATTGTAGGCAAGAAACTAACTTAAATTAAAGATATCGGTAAGTTTAGCTCAATCAATTTACTATAGTACTATCTAGAGTAGCTCTTTGTCCGTGAAATTTTTGGACATCTTGTATACAAAGTAATATTGTCTTACGATCTGTGCATGAATGTGCTATTGAAACAGCTGTTTCACTAAAACGGGAATAATGTTGATCTGGTGTACAGAAAATATGAAGCATACTTTATAAATTCTAAACATATTTTTGTTTCTCAAAAGTGGACTTGTGTAAACTGATCGATATTGTAAAAAGTAAAGTGCTTCCATGAAGTGGTCATTCATAGATTTGTATATATTTACATATGATCATTACAAAAATATACGGACGGAAATATTTTCTCAAGATTGCTGAAATAATGGACCAAATAAATGGATACTCTTTCTATTAATGTTCTCATACATTCCTTATTTACTTAAGTGGAGTGCAATCGATACAAGTTCTTTTCCGTTTCAAAATTACGTCTGAAGTTGTCCTCACCTTTCAAACAGTAC